GAATGATTGTCTCAATAATTTTGGTAAGCTTTTTAGTCCCAGGATCGGAGTACGGTGAGAAGGAGAAGAAGATCAAATGAGAACTTACCAACGTCCTACTCAGTGACCGTAAGCAGTAGTGGGTGGAGACATCTAAAGGGATAGAAAAGACTGCGGTGATAGGAAAACAGATTAAATTACTAAGATTTATGAAGAAAACTGGTACAAAAAAGTTAATGGTTAGTTAGACAACAGTGCAGTAAAATGGAACCAGGATATTCTTTTGCAATGAGTACAGTTCAAATGACCTCCAGTTAACATTCAATAATCCTCTGTCCACCACATTCTGAGTGGAATATTAAAAGAGGGCCTCCAACTCTTTATAAGTTGAGCAGGCTGTGAAAAACCTGAAATGAAAACAGAAGCTCGGTGGGATGAGCTAGTATCAGAGGTATTCAAGACGGTGGTCGAGGATTCTATGCCAGTCTGATTGAAGTGTGGGTACCAAGTATGATCCCCTCTGACTGTTTCAGTTGTCCTAAGCAGTAAAATTTTCTTCTGATAACCAAAGGAGAATCAGCTTGGCGAACATAGTGTTTAAGATTCTAGGTTACACAACTATTCAACGTCGAAAGGGAGCTCCGCAGAGGAAAAACATGAAGATCAAGGAGATTTCAGACCTGGTCAAAGGTGCACTGACCATATCTTCACTCCTTCCTTCTCTTCAAAGTTCTAGAACAGAGAAACACTTAATGCTACTCAGCACGAGATGTATTTATTAATCTGAGGGTGAAATTTGACTCCATCGATTCTCAGATTCCAAGACGGTGTTTATAACTGACAGGAATGCTGAATTAACCATTGTCTGCTTTCCAAACAATATTTTTAATTGAAGAGGTGCTAAATTAATCGAATTTACACCCTTCTAACTACAAAATAGTTCCAAACAATTTACATGAATAGCCTATGAGTTTATCACAGAATAAGTAACAAACATAAACAGCATAGAATCTGATATAACCGTTAACTTATTCCCAACACATCAAAAACAAGCAGCTGGTGGGAAACATTACGAGGTTTTTTAAATAACCAAACAGTGTTATCGTTCATTGACACGGAAAACAATTTTGATCAAACACCAAGAAACTGATTCACTATGTAAAATGAAATGAAGTCACAATTTATTTCATAGGTTCATATCAGCGGATGAAAGCTCAGAGTAATGAAAGGATTGATGAAATCCAAACAGAATTATTTCTTAAAACTAATTTCTCAGAGCAAAGAGGATATGGATTTCAATAAATAGATTTTGCTTGTTAATAACAATAATGACCACTATATTCCAAACAATTTTTGGTGCAAACAATTATACTAATTTTTGGTACACTTTGGAATTGTCAGCATGTTATATTGCAACAAAAAGGTATATCCATACTGCTTAACAACATTTCGAATAGTCCTAATATAACAGTTCAAATTATGTAAATGATACCAACAAGCTCAAATGAATTCATATACCCCAATTCAATTAACGATGTTGGGATCAAATTACTATGCTGAATAGTTTGTAAATGTAATTGGGAAGCCTGACGAGAACTTACCGAAAATACGAATTCGTTTCAGACTCTATTTTCAAGACTAATGTGCGTTTAGAACGTGAGCACTGTGACAGAGTGTAGTAATAACCTGTTTCATTTTATTTTACGCTCCCTTTATTTCCGTAAGATTACTCTTTCATCAGTCAACAACTTCGTTTGTAATGGATATTAATTAGGCCACCACCGCTCGATGTAAAAATTTGAGTCCAGAACCACAGATTAAAGACTAACTGAAAATAAATATTGTTTCACGTTATCCGAGTTTTCTTCATGTACATTTTATTTTTTAAAACAACTATTTTGCTTTTGTTGACTGAATTGAAAGCCGAATCGCGCTTGAATTTAAATTTTAGGCTTCAGGATAAAGATTCTACTGGCTGACCGACTTAGTTAAATCATAGTAGATCTTGTTTTGTGACATTCTTCTGAACAAATAAATATTTGTTTAAATAAATTGTTGTAGTCGGTTCATGAATGTCACCGTTTTAGAACTGTTTGAACTCCCATTATAGATTTGTCTGAACACGAATTTTATCTTCAGTTGATCCTGGAAGTCTGTGTATGGTTGACTGGAAGATGAACACATGAATCTGCAAGCATTTATGTGAATATGATAGTGATTCTCATTTGGTTGAATTGGGTCTAACATTTAATCTGTTATAGCAGTAAGACAGTTAGCAGCCTACATTCAAATATCGGTATAAAAGACTCTTTCCGGCTGATTGGTTCTTGTCACTTCGATTGAAAGTAGCTTAAGTGTAAAATAACTGAGTAGTCAGTATGACTACCTATTAGTAGTATGTGCGAAACATGAAAAAGATGAAGAAAGCGAAGGTACTTGATAAAAGCTGGCTCCTATTTAGGCCTCTGAAGGAAAATGATGGTCAGCAAACCTTTCAGCGGGAAGGACGGTCTCTGATAACCTGTAGTGTTATCCGAAACGCTATAAAGAACTCTCAACCTGACTTAAACCTTCGTGATCCGAAGGCAATGATTCTTCAACTATTACCATGGTTCAGAAGGTCATTCAAATTTTAGATGATGAAACGTAGTCGGACCTAACGGTTTACTGGCAGAATTCTTCAAAAATGGAGGTGGAGAATTAGTGTTACAATAAATGAAGTAGTTGCTAGTCAGTATTGGGGAATCCAAATAGGCTTGTAATTTCCCCTTTACTATGCAGGGCCGAATTGCTCGACCTTTGACTTTGCAGATGGGCTCCTATGCGGGTTTCGAAACTGTCGGATATTCAGGGTGTTATATTGATCTTTGCGATTTGCGGAGGAATCTAGTCAATAAATGATGACTTGGGCGTCCAAGGGTGACATGGAGGAGATCGTGTGAGGAAGGAATGAAAGCTTCTGGGGAGTGGTGTAGACACGTTCAAAAGACTGCAGAGAACAGAGTGAAATGGCGGCGTGCTACTGAAGCCCTATGTTCCACTAGGATCTCAAGTGAAAAGTAATAATAATAACCCCTGAATGGTTACAGTTAGACTGATAATGTGCCTCCAAATGATATTCAGTGATATATGTTAAGTTGGTTCATCAATAAGTGAAAGGTGAATGTTCGACTAAGTAGCTCGGTAACTTAGTATGACTGATCTCAAATCTATCAAGAAGTAATTTTTACATGAGGATTACCACCAAGGGTAATATTGTGAAATATCGCTGAATCGGTTGGAGATTGTCAAAGCATTTTCGTGATATTCTTGCAAGATGAAGACAGTCTATAGAAATGCCAGTGTCAGAAATATAACATGTCCTTTATTGTAAATATCTACATAAACTGGGCACTTCTGTCTACAAAGTTACATCTGTACTTTCAATAAGATAAGTCTCAGTCTATCCGTCCCTAGCTTTATTATTTTGTCTCCAGTGCACTGGTCCATTGTGTTGTTGTAACAGTGTGACCGTCCTATATCTAGGCACGGAAAAAGTTTCGATTAGCCTTTCGCCATCTCACACCATTTAGAGGGCCGGTGTGACATGCGATTGCCTATCGTAGTGTGCTGTACTATGGTTCTCAGTCTCCTGCTACATGGCCGTAAAACACAGTCATTAAAGGTGGAGGACATGAGAAAGTTTCAGGTGTTTGATCACTGCTTTTTCTGTAACATCTTTCAAGTGTTGCGGAACCGCAATGTCATTGTCAGTAAGCAGAAGTCAGTTATCCAGCTGTAAGAAGAGGAAGTAAGTCAGTTGATAAGTTTGTAATCCTTCATCGATTCAGATATAACATGTGTTAAACGTGTATAGTCGACGTGTACTTCGTCCTACAATGTTAACTAGATTGTATTCAGGCTGAATGGAGCTTGGAGGGTGCTAGAGTAAGATGTGGTAGCAGTGCATGAAGTCTCTGACGATTGATTGAGTTGTGTAGGCAAAGGTAGACTTTCAGGTTGCGTTTACCGTGTGGCAGCCTTAGTTGTCCACCAAAGACTGGACAATATGTCTCAAGATCACTGTCAGTGGAGCAGATGCATCTACACATAATCTTCGCCTTCGGCATCGTACCAAATTACGTTATTTTTTATTTCTTCTTGTCCTCTTTTATAGCTTTCTACCACTTTGACCATCTTCTTCCTTCTTTGTACCTCTTTCATTTTGGTACATTCTCGCCTGATGTGCTGACATGAGTTTGGGGAGTTTGTACTGTTAGGTAGCAATGCTAGGTTACATTTCGACACTGACTGAGTGAAATCAACCAACCAGCTAAAAATGATGTATTTAATCGCTCATTTACTGAAAGGAAATCAATAGGTAATATTACATTTGGTCAATGCAGAATCGCAAACTCATAGAGGGGTGATTTTCATTTTACTTTTGCTAAGTAGTTATTCCATAATAGTCATTAGGTGATCAATTCGTTAACAATGCTATGGAATTAAGAGTAAGTACACTAACGAATAAATAACTCTTTACCACCTGTAGTTGATTCTCACAGCAGTAGATTGAAAACCTGATGGGATTAATGATAAAATATCCAACCCCAGTGTAACATCGGAGTATTGCCTGAAAAATAAATTGCTATAAGGTTACTGTTCACTTTCTGATGAAGACAAGCAATGCTACCCAGTGAAGTGACAGATAAGGTTATTGCAAAACCTAATTAACAACCAATACCCTTAATTTAGTCTGTCCGTCAAATTTGTCACACAGTGGAGCAGAATTATTTACTGGAAAACCTTTTGGATGCAATTTATTTTCCATAACCGTGTCACCCTGATATGACCTTGGATAAACTTAAATGGAATTGGGACAACTCATCGAGCCTAAGTTTTACTCTTACATTCAAAGCCTGTTGAGTGATAGACTGAGTCTGGACCTCTTTACAAACACTAAAAATGTACTAGTATACAGGTGCTAACCACTAAAGAATCCATAATGAGGATAGAGACATGCAACAGACCCCGACACTTACTAAATACCATTAAGAAACAGCCCTATTCAATAATTTCAAATGATGTAGTAACACTTTACATAAACTAATGATTCTATGGTATTTATTAATTGATGTTGTAATGTTTTTCTATACATTAGAATGGCATGCATAAGGTGTCTAACATTTAATACAGCCAACCTGATAAACACATATCAGTGTCACATGAATGATATGGATCAGAATATGTAGTAAGTCATTAGTTATATGCCTTATACTCGTTAAAAATGACTAACTTGTTTGAACAGTCTGCAAGCCTTTGTTGGAAAACTTGTTGCTTAGGTTCAACATAGTTCATAACTCCACTCACAGAATAACAATTTAAGTGGTAACTGCATAGTGTAGTAAGAAGACGGAGGTTATCTGAGAAATTTGATGTATTCGCGCAATACATATGAAACAATCCGATCACACATTTATTTGTCAAAGCATTTTATATGAAGAATGAAAATAGGGTAGGGTTAAATAAATAAATTACGATAATGCAAGATTTGAAAAATAAAAGGATAATAAGAAAGAATAATGCATTTTCACACCACCCTCGGCATTAAAATGAGATAAAGATTACCAAGGTAGGTTTAAAGTAAGGAAAAAATATTTTTGGAATACACAAAAGCGGGTTGAACTTTCGTATAGCTAAGGCTTCAATGAACCTAAGTTTACGGTTTTGATGGCTCCTAACAATGGTCTAAAGTCTGTTTTAGGGTCAATCCTATGGCCTGTTCTTATAACTTGTTTACCTGTCGACAACGATGTCTGTCTGCCCCCCGGTAGTTATCCGATTATTTGAATGTGACTGTTTTTCTATCCATTTAGGGATATGCCCTACCCCCCTCGACTTCATAATTTGATTACTCCTCCCAATGTATGTCGCCGATCACACAGGTAAATTGGTATACACAGCAGGATATTACGTAATCGTCGACGTAGTGATGAGGTTTATTCTGAAGCATAGGTTTCGTTTTCTCCATAATATTGGGCTTGACTGCATAGTATGTCTTTTTAATAAGTGAATTAAACTAAATTAAAGACTACGCTGTTTGGTCCACCCTATACCGTAGCGTGATGTAAACGTCCTTCTTTGGGAGAGAATACTGTTTAGTTCGCACCGTTGAGACGTCTTTATAACGGTTGATGATCTTCAGAAGATATGCATTTTCCATGAGTGTCTCTGTTAAGAATTTGATTTCTTTCGATGCATCCGTTGCGCAGATACGTTGGGTCCTTTTGAATAAGCATTTTACGAAACCTCATTTGTACTGTATTAGGCAGAAACGATGAAAGTTAAGGTATTGTCTGGTTCACGTAGGTTTTTCTATATACTGATCTTTTTATCGACCCACCTTCCCTCCTAGTTAATAATATGTCATCCTTCACATAAAACGCCTTGACAAGTGAATAGGTGGTCAGATTATTCGAAATGCATTGCGCGAACACATCACATTTCTCAGATAGCCTGTGTTTTCTGATTACATTATGCAGACTTATCAGAGGGACTAATTGTTTCAAATTATACCACCAAGTTAGCCAAGTGTAAACAATGCTGTCAGATGTGTGCGTGTATGTGTGTGTGTCAAGTAACTAAACTGCCACACAGTGGTTCAAAGTCTATGTGTCTACTACTAGGCATACTGACACAACGTAAGTTCAAAGTTGATGAATTAAAAAGAACACAGAAACTTCATGATGCTGATGTTGGCTATTCCGAAGATCCTTCAATCAATTCACTAACAAGTCAAAATAATCTGAAGAAGTAAATGAAGGAAAGTTCCTTGAACTCTGACTCATGATGATCAGGAGTGAAGATGCACATGTATTTACAAAAAAAGTCTGTTAGTACTGAACCTTTCTCAAGTTAAGCAAACATTTTCTGAATCATGATAATTTCCATTTTGATCAAAATATGGTACAAATATCTTACTTTCGGTTCCTATCAAGAGTTAAACGGAAGCACCATATTTTGCAACAATCTCGTATCCATAGAGAATCAGTGCACAACTTTCAACTAGTTTGGCAATCGTACTCTCCCTTTTTGTGCTTTTATGTTGAGTGTGATTAAAATACATTCATCTTAACTAAACTCTAGTCTAATTTCCGAATGCCTTCACATTTTTGGTCATTTCATTGCTATATTGCATCACCAACTAACTTTGGTATTCTGAAATTATCAATCCAGTCATTTCTAAAAATCTATATGCAAGATCTCGTCAACTAAGCCGTTTCCCACCTATGATTCTCAAACAGTTTACATTTTTATTATAACTATCTAAATTTCTCAAATTGGAGGTGTGTTGACATTAGTTTCATTAAATGTATGAAGAAAATAAAAACATATTGGCCCGATAATATTCTGAAAAGCTCTTCGTTCTGGCTTTGTTTGAATGTGAAATGCTTGATCAAAAAGATAAAGAATCAGAATTTAACCTAAGATAGTTGAAACTCATACTCTTCAGCAGGATTATTCTGTTTAGTTTTCCTGAAGCTGTGCTGCAGATTGGTTCATTATTATAATGACGTAGAGTTAGTTATGTTATAGTTCTAGTGATGAAACCATCAACATCTGTGGTTTGCTACAGCAACTTTAATTTCAGAGGGTGATATTGAACATTTACGGAAACTATGATGGGCATATTTATTGAAAAAATTAAAGAGACTATCAGAAAAAATCGCAGTCTGGTTGACTGATGTTATTGATATGAGGCAATAATTGTAGGTAAAATGAAAAATTGGATTGTGAGAGATTTCAAACCAGAGGCGTTAGGGTTCCCAGCCAGGCCCTTACTAAATGAGCTATGCGGTCCAGCTGCTAACCAGGTTTTAACTGCAATCTCTGAGAGTTAGGCACAACTGCCATATGAAACCACGTAGCTCGCTTGGTAGACCGTTGAGTGGGTAACCTGTAGCTATCTGATTCAAATCGTACCATGACCAAGATTTTTGTTGCACCTGAAATTATCTGAAAACGTTCTACGCATAATATATCATACTCATTTTGATAACTAATACTAGTGACAGTCTTTATCAACGAAATAACAACACAAATATTTTGATTCAATACCTTTAAAAAAATCTGTCAGTGAATTATTTGGGAATGGAACAGATGTGATCATAGCCATTGAAACATAAACACCCGAAGGTTAACCACCATAATCAATTCCTTATTCTCTTCAAGTGATATCAAACAATGCTGGTTGGTGACGGGAGAGCAACCAATTTCACTTTGTCTAGTCCTGAGTTCTGACCGAATTCTACCGGTCATTTTTGAAATATGGTCACCAAGCTAGGAGGCTCAGCATCGCGGTGCACGTTGATAGATGTTAGTTGGATGGGATCAGCAGAAAGCCTTTGGCCAAGGTTTCAGGCTTGGTGGCACTCGTCAGCAAGGTATACCTGTAACCTTGACGTAACTGATGTTCCGCCTGGGGTTGGAACTCAGTGATAACGTTGAGCGGGTTCCAATCTCGAACAGAACGCCAGTTCCGTCGAGGTTGTAGATGCGCCTTGTTGACGTATGCCAGTAGCCGCGAAACCCAGGTCCAAGGCTTCCTGCCGATTGTCTCCAACCACCTAATATCGAATCTCTCTGTTTTTTTCATTTTCAGGAACTTCAGATGTGATCTAATCTGAAAACGAATCAATTACAAAACCGTTTAGTACTTATGGGTATTTTACAAACTTCGTTGTGGGAATAGTGGTGCAAGAAGTTATGTCGAATCATCTTACGCATACTTCGAAAATCTTCTGAATGCCAGGGATTTTATATCACGCTGTTTTGCAATGATAACTGTGAATATCTCATCGAATATTAATATTTCACTGAAGAATATTAGTGAGAGGAAACTGTCTTTAAGAATTATGGAGAAAGATAAGACATGAATCTTTGGTAATTGCATTTTGCTTAATTATGTCTGACGTCTTGAAAATCTTTCCCATAAACACTTATTTTTAAGGATAACTTTCTTGTGAGTTTTATGTGATTCCTTTTCATGGCTTAACCTATTGCATGAAGTAACCAGTGCTCAAGTGTAAACTATTTCACTCATTCTCTAACCTAAATATATATGTTTAAGCGTGAGAGTGAGTTTTGAATTGAAGATGCTGTAAGAGAGGATTGTTCGACGAAAACGTACAAATTGCTCAGTCTCATTTTCAGTCTAGCCGATGAAGGATCATCGTGTAACCTCATTATGAAATAGAAAGAAAACTTCTAATTAAGGCGCATATGAAGTTCATATCATGGAACTATGTCAAAGTCGTATTGGTGGTCTTAGTAAGCACCTGATCAGTGCACAAAGGATATATTGTTGAGTTTTAACACAATGCATCTACATACATCAATAGCTTTTCTGCTGATCACTTTTAAATAAATTTCAGATAAGCTATTACCGATCTCAGCGCTAAGTTGAAAAGTTTTAAAATACGGACTTTTCCCTAGAACTATCAAGTACAATATTTTTAAAATCTATTTACAAACTAATTAACCAAATTCATGAGTTACTTGATAATTTATGCCAGCTCACTTTCCGCTCTTTTTTTCTCTATCTGCAGTTGCATCACATACGTACTTAATCAAGGATGAATTAAAAGACCACCCATTGTGTATATCACTTTGAAATATTTTAAGCAATCTTTTCACTGATTTTAGTTCCTTCCACTCCAAAGACTCATATTTTAGCAGTGAATTTCCTTCATGAACTGCAACATTTTACATTCTAAGTGGTAGCACTATGATTTTTATTGGATAGTTTCTAAGTTTAATTCCTATCAGCTTATTTAAGAACACTGAGGAAATAGTCTGCTCTATAGTTTGCTACTAGTTATAAAAGTGATTACCATTGTAGCATACTTCAGTTACTATGCTTGAAAAACATTGCGTTATGAATCCTGATTTGATAACTAACACGCGATGGACAAGAGTAGCAACAGTACTTTCCAAAGGTAATTAGTTACGTGCACTAAATGACCATAAGTAGGAACAAGCGACTCAATGAA